ATAGTAAATAGATGAATGCCAACCGACAATTGACTCGAAAGTTTCATGGTACGAAATAATTGAACTGAAGACTCTGCATCCTTTAATACATTTATTACTTCCTCAAGGTGTACAGAGTGTACTCAGCATAAAGGTCCCTGATTAACAGAAATGATATTTTAGGTTTATCAGAAAATTGTTTAGTCAAGTTTGTAACGATGAACGCTCGAGAGATTATCATCAAACCAAAACACATTGAAAAATTTCGAACTTACATGGAATATTGAATGGCATCGACAGCTGTAGCTGAAGGTAAAAACTCATCCACCTCCACCTCTTTGTTCTCGTTCTTCTTGTCTGAACACTCGGTTAACGTAAAAGAAGAAAAACCGTACCTTTTTAAGATTGCAAAAACCACATATTGAAAAGGATACAATCTTCGAAGAATCTTTTGATCTCGGTTAAACGATGTGGTGGAAGTTGGCTAATATCAACTAAGTGACGGTACTCTGGATCATCAGCACAAACGGCAATGATCTTGTCGTCTTTCTCTCCCTAATTTGGCCAANGGGAGATATATCTAACAAGAAACTTAATTTTTTCGCTCGTTTTTTGCAGAATACTAAAAAAGTACCTGATCAATCATAGGCATCAAGCCTATAGCCCTGGCCCGAACAAAACAACCAGGAACAACAGGCTCCTGAGAATTAATAAACGGACTAAATATTAATCAACTTGCATGAACGTCAAATGTTAAAAACTATGTGTGCAGAATTTCAAATTTGTAATAATGAAGATTGTATTTAATTTTAACCTGCATAATAACAAGAACATCCATTGGGTCATTGTCTTCACATAGTGTTCGAGGAATGAATCCATAGTTATGAGGATAGACCATTGATGAGTACAAAACACGATCAACCTGGAAAATTATTCATTGAGAGAATTTGTATTAATTTTCAATCATATATGTAAGAATTTGTGTTATTTTCTTTCAACATAACCTTGATGAGACCGGTTTTCTTGTCGAGCTCGTATTTCACTTTACTTCCTTTGGGTATCTCAATTACCTAAAAGGTTACATAACAAGGTTATGCTAATTGCTAATTATTTAAGAAAAAGAATATATAATAACAATTAAACAAGTAAAGTACATACAACGTTCATAATTTGTGGTGCTCCAGGTCCTGCAAAGATTAAGAATGAAGAGATATCATCAAGTTAAGTACAACACACAAAAATCTTTACGTAAGAAAAAAATGAAAAGAGAAAACATTAAACATAAGTAATTAATTACCAATTTCAAGATCATGCCATGGATGAGCAGCAACTGATCTTCTTGAAATAGATGAGAGAATTCTCTCATTTAGGCGGGGAGCACGCTTATGAGGAAAAGCTTGAGATTCATTTTCGTCACTCATCCTGTAATTGATAATAATAGTAATAATAATAATAATAGAATTTAATAAATCTCTTATCATGAGCATATATAAAAATTGGAATAATTGCAAAAATACTGGACTTCCTAGCAGCTACACAACGTATAAACCCAATTACTATATAACACATTTCAGCAAATCACAATTTCTAAAGCTATTTTTCGAACATTTTGGATGTGATAATCGAAATATTCATGCGATTTTCAAATCTTTGGATCAGATCAGACTAAGGTGCGACAACATTCATCATCAATTAGACCATCTTCAAACACATCACATTAAACAGTAATAATATTCTCCAAATATTCTGTATTGCGTCAACTTTTATAACTTTTCAATAACAACTACATATTTAACAACTTTAGAAACTAGAGTCAATATTATTTTATATTCGAATTAAAAAAAAATATTAACAATTTATTATAGAGTGATAATTAGTACAAATGCAAACTATTGGAAAAAAAAATATTCAGAGAAAATGTATGATCAACATCATAGTAGGAAGAAGGAAACAAATGATGATATGAGATGAGAAATTTTACCTGAGAAGATGGAAACAAATGATAATATGGAAAACAATGATATGAGGAATATGGAAAATGAGGCATATATATATATAGTGTAGGCAAATGCAGAATTAGTCAATCCACGTGGCAACGCAGGAGTATCAATAGTTGGTAGCCATGTTATTATAAGTTTAAATCTGAACTTAAAATTGGATCATTAATTTACATACTCTATCTTGATTTAGAATTTCTTTAATTTAATTTTTTTTGGGTAAATTATCTTCCATCAATCTCTTATATATAATTTAAAAAAAAAAAAATCACTTGATTTTATAAATAATTTCCAAATTAAGTGAGAGATTCACATCTTTCATAATCTACTAATTTGCAAAAATTTATTACCATGTATTTATGTTTGGCTACCAAACATCATCATGGGAATGGGACGCTCCTCGTATACTTGGGAACCATAACTATTTGAGTTGGATTTATATATTCCTGTGATTTTTTTTATATATATTCATTGTGTTTTTTATTAGCAACTCAATAAATTTGGATATCTAATAATGTTAAGATGATGACTAATGGTTTTTTACGATGATATTATTTTAGGGAAAAATAAAGTCAAATAAATTTACTTTACGAGTACATTGGGAGTTAATTAGGAGTTACTATTAGTAGATATTGTCCACATGCACATATGCATATAAATTTTATAGGTTCTATGTGTGTACTATTTAAAATAATAAATTAGATAATAAGTCTATCACATTTTGTAGTTATATTTAAAATCATAAGTTAGATAAATGAGTTTATCACATTTTATAAGTTTTATCATGAGTAAAAATGAACGATATAGATATAAACTATTTAACTTATTACATATGAATTTTTATACTGATTGCAATAATATGATTTTTGCAATCTTTGCTGATTATGATCAATTAATTAGATAAAACAATATTGAAATTATTATTATAGCAGCTGTTTAGGAAATTTTAAAGGGTAAACATTAAAAAATAAAAGATAAATTTAAAATTGGTTTAGATCAGCTAATTAGTAACAGCAATTTGTACCTTAAATAGTAATAGTGTTCTGGCTTAGCTTAAATTAACTTAAGATTATAAGTGAAACAATTGTTGAGATTATGTTGCAAATTGATTAGGTATGCTTAGATTGATTAATAAGACCTTTCTAGATTTTTTAAAAAGTTAGAAAATACATAGTATGCTGCCATTATGTACGACTGTTACAGATTTTTTGTAAAATAATAAAAATAATATATTATGATGTTATTGATTAGGAACATTACATATTTTTACAAAGTAAAAAAAGAAAGGAATATAGGATTGTAATGAAAATATGAGGGAAACAAATTGATAACAATTTAATATATAGATTTATAAACTATAATTTTTTTAAAAAATCAGGGGGCTCATGAGCCCCTGGGTCCAATACAGTTCCGTCAGTGGTTCTATATATGGACTAATTTTGGTATTGTTCGACTTCCATTTTGATTGAGTGAATTACTGTTGAACTAATATCATTTAGGTTGTCTACCCATAAAATGTTAGCCATATCCAAGTTTTTTCACCTAATGAATTATGCAATAAAAGTTTTTGCACTCTATTAACCCATATTCAACTCGTTTTATTTAAAAACATTTTCCATCCGTAATTGAATACCGTAGTCCTACCACATTAGCAAATAATCCCAATAATGTGATTAGTATAACTCTTTTTTTTTTTAATCAATTTGACAACTTAGTAGTTATTATATGAAATTTGATGAGATTCAAATCCGTATATCTTTTACGGAAATTATCCAAACTATTATATATTTTTGTACATTTTGACCCAAATTTTTATATTTTTGTAATCCTTACGCGGGAGTTGACACCTACAAAGGACGAGGGATAAGCTTGTAAAATACTCAACAGAGTATAAAATAGAAAAAAGAGAAGACTACAGTGACAGTACATCACGCCAAGAAAGCTGTTGCGACTTTTTGTCTTCTCTGAGCAACAAAAATGACTTCAATTTAGTGCTGTTGGGAAACACGAGTCCACAAATTTCGAATTTAAATGCAACCTAGTCCAATTTTCTCTTGCATTTCCTTTTTTAAATTTTGTATTTCAAATAGTTACTGCATAGTCGCAGCATTAACTTTTAGCTAGCTTTGCTGCTTGATTGATGGTGGCATTTCATTACCAACAAATTGCCATTTGTGTAGCCGGTTTTGTTAATTTGAGTAAAGAAAATCTTCAATAATTGCCGATACCTTTTGATAAATTTGGAGAAAAAGATTTCTTTAAAGAATTAATCTTTATGCTTCACGAGCCAGCTTAAAGCTACATTTTTAATTTATTTCATTTTATTTTTGGCAAAGACTGATTTTTTTTCTGGGGTTGGGGAAAAATGATGCGGTTGGTGGCCGGGGGTAGACAGGCGGCGCACAAAGGCGGCGTTGGTGGAAATGCAACCATTGGTTTCTCCAAAAGATGGGTTTGTGTCTTGTGCATTGCGAGCTTTTGCTTGGGAGTAATTGTTGTCAACAGGTAATTTTTTTTCTTTCTTCTTCTTAATCGGTTCCCTAAAAGTTGTTGGGTCTTGCTAGAACTTGTAAAATTTGGTGAATTGGATTCCAATTTTCCATTGTTTTGTTTGTTGATGAGAAGGAGGATGCAAGTGGATATGGAATTTCTTGTTTTTTCAGAAGCTAATTACACAAACTCGGGTTTTGTTATATTTTCTGTGTGTGAAAAAAATATAGAAAAACCGAATGCTTGCTGATTATGGTTCTAAAATATCCTGTGACTGTGTTTCTACAGCTTAGATTTGAGAGTACACCCAATATCTAATGCGGTATAATGCGTAGGGCAATTGCGTATATGATACTAGCTGAACTATTCACATTAGTGCACAACTGTTTTTAGCCCGATAATGTTTTGGGTTTCGAGCTTTTACTATCTTCAATGGAGGTGGAATTAGTAGAAGTGTTCTTGGATGTCTTCACCTGAGCTTAAGAAAGAAAAAAAATAGATACTGACATTACGAATGACGATTAAATTGAAATACAGAGTGAACGACGTTTTAGTATTTAATTGAGGAATTTTGTATTGTTGATTCTCACCAAACATGAGAAATCAGTGCAAACTCTGGAGAAAAATGTGCTTGGAGAAAAATGAATTTTGTAAAATCATGCTGATGCTTATTAACAATTTCATTCGTAATGTTGTTATCAGGTTCTGGACCGTGCCTGATTTGGACGAGTCAAACATGATTGCAAAATCTGTTGAAAAGCGTGGGCCTAGCGATGTTCTTCCTTCTATTAAGTGTGGCGAGAAAGTAAGTATCAATAACTCGTTTTCATTTTATCTTTTATAACATTTCTTCTTTTCTTGTATGCTATGCTATTAAAATTGTTCAACAAGCATGAATCATTTAGTAAAGAAAACATCTGGTTGGACTCTCAGGATACTGTGGATGTACTTTCTCAAGTTTCAAGAACTCATGATGTGATCGCGTAAGTCTCGTTCCTCTCCCAAAAAATGGTAATATTGTTAAGCAAAATTGCATATAAAGGCACCACCTTTAACGTTTTTGCAATTTAATCACTACATTTTACTATTTGCATTTAAACGTAGATGTTCTGTCTATGCAAGTCAGCTCCAATCTAACAGAAGTTAAATTTATGCTTCGATCTGCAAAACATATATGAAAGATGGCGATTTAAATGCAAATAGTGAAAAGGTGGTGATTAAATTGCAAAAGTCTTAAAGGTGGTGCCTTTATATGCAATTTCGCTATATTGCTACAGAATATTTAGAAGTTTGCTTGCATTCTCTCATGCTAATCTTAATTTTCCTTTGTTTCTTCAGGACATTAGACAAAACAATATCTTCAATAGAAATGCAACTTGCAGCTGCAAGAGCAGCAAAAGCTGAGATTAATGAGAAAAAACATAACAATGGAAAGTCGAGTGATGGGTCATCAAATAACCGTCCTAAGGTATTCTTTGTCATGGGAATCATTACTGCATTTAGCAGCCGAAAAAGGAGAGATTCTATTCGTCAAACATGGATGCCTCAAGGTTGTACTTTCTCTTTATAATTTGTAAATGCATTCTGTTTCTAGTTGAAATAGTTAAAAACACAATCAATTCTTTTACCAGGTGAACTTTTGAAGAAGCTGGAGAAAGAGAAAGGAATAATCATTCGGTTTGTGATTGGGCACAGGTAAAATCAGTCTCAGACTCGGAAGTTTTTGGTCTCATGAAGCTAACTTAATTTTTGAGATCCCTCACATTTTTTTCCCTTTTTATATTCTGTTCAGTGCTACGCCTGGTGGAATTTTGGATAGAACATTAGATGCTGAAGAAGCACAGCACAAGGATTTTTTGCGATTGGTATAAATAAATCATCGTGCGACTTATGAAGACATCTATATTTTTCTTGATCGAATGGAATATGCTAACTATTGTATATGCCAGAAAAAGAAAAAAATTTCCATTTTTTTTGTCTCCTTCTCATATAATGACATGCCCTGAAGTTAACAGCTACAGGACCTTTCCTTTTAAAAGATACTTAAAATTATGAGCAAAAGGAGTGTACATTTAAGTTAGATCTTTCTTCTGCATTCCTATTGCTTTTTTCCCTGATGATATATATTAGTTCACACATTGTACTGAACAAAATCTCGTAATTTAACTATGATATTGTTTCTGAAAGTTAATTAATTATCTCTGTTGTGCAGAATCATGTAGAAGGATATCATGAATTGTCCTCAAAAACTCAAATTTACTTCTCAACGGCTGTCGCTAAGTGGGATGCCAATTTCTATATCAAAGTAGATGACGATGTGCATGTCAATATCGGTTAGCATAAAATCTTCTTTTTCCTAATGCAATCTCGTTTCGAAATGAAAGGTTTAATTATTAGCCTTTGTCTAATATTCCTTTGGCAGGTATACTAAGTTCACTGTTGTCCCACCACCAATCAAAACCTCGTATTTACATCGGCTGCATGAAATCTGGCCCTGTCCTTGCACAGAAGTATGAGTTTTTCTCACCTCTCAACTTTTGTCATAAACTTCTTTCTTATTATCAAATATTACAGAGGAGTAAAGTACCATGAGCCCGAATACTGGAAATTCGGGGAGGAGGGAAACAAGTATTTCAGGCATGCAACGGGCCAAATTTACGCAATCTCCAAAGACTTGGCCACCTATATATCCATTAATCGGTACTGTGCATTTTTCATCCAAGACATT